TGTGTGTGTGTGTGTGTGTGTGTGTGTGTGTGTGTGTGTGTGTGTGTAGGAGGAGGATGAACTGTGTCAGGAGCGAGCCAGTGAGAGGGTAGTGATGAGGCTGACCGCTCTCTCTTTGCAATACAACAACTGTTGGCTCATCCTGCACTGTGGAGACAGTCAAGGAGGAGGGTCAGTGTGCACACACTCACACACACACACACACACACACACACCGTCACTGATTCTCTCTGTCTGTCTGTGTGATGGTAGATTTTCGACTGAAGCCTTCAGCAACTTGGTGTTGGTTTATTCGTCTCTGGTGCTGTTCGGCATGAAGTCTGAGGATCTAGACATCAAGGTAGAATAAAAAAAAATGATTTATTTTTTTTTTCTGCCCTCAACTGTTCTGGATTTTTCAAAATCGTGCTGGTAAAACTTTAGCATATCATTTAGTTATTAAAATGTACCTACTGGCACAAAAAGTTATTAAATTGAACCAGCACTCGCATTTATGATACATCTTAAGAAAATAGAATTATGGGATACAAACGCATTCGTGGTGATAAAAAGGAGAGAGCGACAGCGTAACAGCCCATCATATAATCATGTGATGGAGCCCTGTGCTAAATGCTTAAACAAATAGGACATTATGTTAATAATTAAGTTTGGCATTCGCTGAAAAGCAAGTTGTTTGCAGCACTGCTTAGTTGTGAGTTTAAATGAGTGGAGGTGGTGGCGGGCACGATAACGATACAAACCACCTCGTCTGCTACTCTGTCTGTCAGGTGCTGATTGTGTCCGAGGTGACTGAAATAGCCGAATGGATCAGTCAGATCTGCTTTCACAGCCTGATGGCCAGTGAGAAGGAGCCTCTCAACTACCTGGACAGAGACTGGCTGACTGTGACTCCTTCAGAGGTGATCTATCCAGAGGAAGTTACATAAAGTAGTCCCGTATTTAGTTGAAAGGCTTTTCTATGGTTTTCAATAACTACTTCAATGCAACTCTTTCAGGGTAAAATGACTTCTGCTGTCTCAAGCTTAATTTATAGGTACAAATATACCTTTCAGTTTGTGTTGTTTCCTTTCCCTCCAGGAGGAAAGCTGTCTGTTGCAGTTCCCGTGTATTAACCCTCTGGTTAGTCAGCTAATGCTGAGGAGAGCGCCATCCGTCCAGTGGCTCCTGGGGGCCTCTCTGTCTCAGCTAATGGAGCTGCTCCCTGAGGTGCCACATAAAGTCCTCAAGGTGATCACAGATGTACCACTACTCTTTAAGTTCACCACACTGTATGTTGCCTTTCTGCCTCTGTAATACAATGTGTTAGTGGCTGAAAGCACACCAGAGGTTGAGACACTGCAGTTATTTAAATTATGGGATGTCTTCTTTTTTTTTTTTTACAGCCACTGATCTGACTGTAAATGTCTTTATATATGTAATTCACATAAAATCAATAAAGATAAGTGACTTATAATAAAGTAAATTTGAATCTTTTCAGTGACGTATCGGCACTAAACAGCCCCTCTTCTCTGTCTTGTTTCAGCTGTTCAGTGACACCACCTCCCTGTACACACTGACCACAGGCCAGCCGGAGTCTCAGACAGTCATCACTGAGACAAACCCACCAAACAGCCCCTGGACCACCACTGCTGACCCACAGCAGGAAGCCCCCATCCACCCCCATCCAGAATTATTCCGTAGTGACCCCAACACCAGCTTCCTGTTCGGAGCCGATCGCAGCTTCAGTGAACCGGACCCAGACTCGATGGTGCCGGAGGGAAACACAGATTTCAGACTCGACCTGAGTTCCTCCTTTGGCAGCCCGGATGTCCCCCTCCAGAGGAGCTGGACCAGCAGTGACCCATGGAGAGAGGAGGACGGAGGCAGAGAGGAGGTGACGTTTTCTGGCTGGAGACGCAGAGCCGGAGCAGTGGGGAGAGTCGTCGGGAGAGCAAACGACGAGTGGACACGGAGAGCTCCGTCGAACCTCGGTGTCGATGCTCGCGGCGGAGTCCAGCTGGACGGCCCGTTCCAGCTGGACTCCGCATTCAGTTCCAGCCACATCCTGCAGCAGCCAGCCAACAGTCAGACCTCCACTCACTCTGCCGTCTACGGTGACCTCCAGCATCCAGATGTCCACCACCGCATCTCCTACGGTCTGAGCCCTCCTACAGAAGTCACGCTGTGGGGTCGAGGTCAAAACGGCAACGACTGCCTCACGAGTAGCAGAGAGACAACGGTTTCAGCTAAATATGGCTCCAGGTGCTGGATAGGACAAGAGAGGAAGAGGAGCGGCGAGGCTGCTGGTTTGGTCGGAACAGGTGAGTGATAATCTCTCAAGGTGAGTTTCCATCCACCGGTTCCTCAAATAAAGCGTAAAAGACTTGTTGAATAAATCACAACGTACATGAAACACGTGACTTAAACATCCACTGGAGCTTCCGCTCCATAAAAAAACACCAGATCCTCAAATTAATACAAGAAAGAAATATAAATTGTTTCCAAAACGCCGCCTACATTGTTTTCCACCGTTTGAAGTCTGACAGGCGCCATTAATACATTGCGGAGGAAGAGCACATAATTTAAAAAAGCATCCAAGAATGGAGAATTAGTGTTTATCTTGAAGAATCACCACCTAATATCTGCATAACGGTTGTGAATGGAGAAGCACATTAATTTCCAATTTCCTTTTGCCAACTTTTAGGAAAAGTAGTTAGAATTTGTGCTACATTTGGACGGGTGTTACTTTGTTTGTTTTGGACGAATTGAGATATTTCCTCGTGTTTGTTTTGCAGTGTTGACGCCACAGAAGAAAGGGAGGTTAAGCTACGAGAAGGTGCCCGGCAGAAGTGATGGACAGACCAGACTTAAATTATTTTAAGCATAAATGCTTGTCATTCCTGTGGCCCGTCTGTGAAGACAAGAACGTTTTGTTAGACTCAAGTTAATGGCACAATTTAAGCTTCAGAGTTTTTATTCGTGTTATATGATGTTTCATTTGGCCTGGTTAGTCTGCAAAAGAGTTTCTATTGTAAGATAAGTTCCTCATTTTAAAATATGGATAAAATGTCTATATTTTAGGCATAAACTCTCTTATTAACAAGTAACAGTCGTCCTTTCTTGATTTGTCTTTTAAAACCAGCAGGAACAGAAATTTAATCTCAATGGAGTGCAGTAATTGCTGACAAAATAAGAAGAATTAATTATTTTCAGTCTAATAGTTTCATAATATAAACTACTGATTGTTTTGTAATAGTTGTTTGTTATCGTATTTCTTATGAGTTGTTTGGGGACTTTAATGCTTGAATTTCACAGCACAAATGGTATTTATGTGATTTATTTAATCAAACACTTGTTTATCATTTTATGCACATTCTGAATGTCCTGTATTGTTAGGCTCTCAGAACTGGATTCACAGACAATGAATGCCAATATAACACAATTGTAATGTTATAAAATGTTTCTTTACAGGTGAAATTGTAATTTTTAAAAATACTGCAAATTAATAAACGGTTGAAACGCCTTCCAACTACTATTTTACTGTCTATAACTGTTTATTATACGTTTATATATCGCTTGTAAGTAATTAAAAAAAGGGCGTTGTTAGCAGTTTTTGTCACAACAGTGCACATTTAGTTTTCCTCCATACAGAGCATGCTCAGTAGTGAAAAACAAATTGTGATTTATGGTTGGAGGAGCGGGATCGAGGGTCTTTGCCAGCTAAACTGATAAAGCCTCTCATTTTAGCAGCTCCAATGGTGGGGCTATTTCTTTCTCTTTTTTCATTTAGTGAAGCAATCCCCTTATCATCGTCTCTCAGCATGTGGAGAGAGTGCTTATCTTCACGAGCCAGCAGAGTGAAGCCAGCTCCCTCAGGAACGATCCCCAGACAAAGACAACCCCGAGGGACATCGACTCCAAGCCTCCCTGCCTCTGGACAGCCATATCCAGCACTGGCTAGCCACCATCAATAACCCACCAGCTTTTTTAGGGGGGGCTTTTTCTTTTTTTTAAACATCTCTCTCTTTCTCTCTCGCGCTCTCTCTCTCTCCCTGGCCTCTGCCTTCTAACAAGCAGTGGACAAACAAAAGAGACAGACTAAATGGTTTGTTTTTTTAAATGGCACAAGGAACAAAAGATGTGGGGCAGGATGGCCAAAAGGAGTCCCCGTGTGAAGGCTCGGTAAACAGCAGCAGTAATGGTGGAGTAATTGCCCCTGACTATACTTAAAAACCCAGAGCTGAATGGGACAAGGGGAGATGTGGGAATTAACAGGCTGTTTAAACCCAAGCCATCCTTTAGATTTTGGATTCTACGTCGACTACAGCTGTAAAGGTCACACAGCTGTGGTTATCTTTAATCACAGGCAGCAGTTAACTGTCACCTGTGTGTTTCCTCTCCCCTGTAAATAAAACCCGCACAGCCCCAGCAGCAGGAGGAGTAGGGGGAGGGTTTCTGCTTTAACCTGAACTGATTTAAGACGGCATATCAGCAGAAGGAACCCACAATATTTTGACACAATAACCACCATTGCAACGTGTTAATAAGATGATGTAAACAATGAGGCACGGTATCAAGTCAAGGTTTGTTGACCAACTGTATTTACAGTTAAATCTGCTGGTAAATATATATGTATTGACTGTTAATTTGCAAGCCATATCACTTCTGTTTGCATGCCAGATAGCAACTTTTGAGTGGTAATTAAAACCATAAATATTGTATTAATTTACCACGGTGCCAACTTTTCTGTTTTTTAAGAAGCATGTGTTTATTATGTTGAATTCAACATAAACACATGGTATGCAATACAAAATACAGCAGTAACCTCTGTTTTTGAGACTGCCTCTCACAGTGTGCTAACGCGTCAAAATGCTACACTTGAATTCAACATAATTTATTCCACAAGTGGCGTCATAGCTCGTCATGCTTATTCTGCCTATTCAGCATGACGGATAAACTACAACAAACCAGGTATAATCTTGGCCTGGCCTTGTAGGTGTGATGAAAGTTAACTGACTGGTGAAAATGGCCCACAGTGAGTGTGTCTGCAGACCTTCAGCCTGCAGTGGAGGCTGGACGCAGCCAGAGAGCGGCGGCGCCTGGCCTGCAGGTGCAGCCTCTTGGACGTGCAGCAGGGCCCATGAATGGCCGATTCAGAAAACGGCCCCCATCGGGCCCGTTCTCCAGGCCACGGAGCTAATCCCAGCCCCTAATCGGATTATGTAAATTCCTACTCCACACAGAGACTTTTATGGAAGGCTGCGTCTTTGAAACAACACTTGAAGGGTGTAAAAGGAACAGTGACAATTGGTTAAACTAGACTTCGGTTTTTTTCTTCTTTTTATCTGAACGGAGGTTGAAAGTGGGAGGCAGAGAAAGAGAGAGAGAGAGAGAGAGAGGAGTGGTTGGAGAGAGGTGAGTCAGGATGCTGTAATTTATGTGTGGCCCCATGGAATGGCTCAACAAGATTACCATAGTCATAACAAAACACATATTGTTCAACTGTCAATCTGGATATGGTATTTTTACCTTTTGTGGCCCAATCAGGCTGAATTCAATAGCAGAGCAGGCAGTGATATCAAGGTCTTTTCCACAGTGCAGTGGAAGGTGGGTTGTCCATGCCTAATGTCAGAGAAACAGAAAGGAACAAGTGTCCACAGCAGTAAGAGAGGGATCAGAGAGATGAACGTCTCAGTTTCACTTCAATGGGAATGTATTTATCACCTTTAGTGCGAACCTTCAAGGATTAAATGAGCAATGAATCATAAAAGCAGCAACAAATAGTCACTTAAAAGGCTGTTGAGAAGAAGAAAAAAAGATCCAGAATCCTGTCAAATGTTGCACAGAAACACCTATGAAAATCATTTAAAGTGATGATTTGTGGACAGTATAATCAGAAAGCCCCCTCCATTGGTTCTAAATGATAGAAGGGGAGGGGGGAGTGTGTTTTAACAATCACTGCTCAGTTAACACCAACCACACACACACAATGCCACAGAGGCTCTACGACGGCACTCGTCACACAATAGGGTTCACCCTGCTATAAAATGTGGGATGCGAGCATGCGGCAGTCTTACCCCATCCCTCTCTCCCTCCCACTCTCTCTCTTTTACTCTCTCCTTCCCTCTCGCTCATAAGGATCCCTCAGCGAGCATGAGAAGACACATCTGAGTGGACATTGACAGCGGACTCCTGGACACTGATGACCTGCAGAGGACGACTCTGCAACTGAGATTTCTGCTCATTTCTACACACATACAGGTGAGACATTTTTGGTATATTGAAGCATTTCATTTTTCCCTTCCCTGTGTTAATCAACGAGGGTGTAATGAGGAGATGTGCATTTATACCAGACTTAACAGAATTGTCTGTTAATAATGATAATTTTAGATTTTGTTTTGTTGCAGAACAGCTTTTATTTAACCTTACAATCAAATCTGGTCAGACTTAACTTCAACCCCTCTATTTAGCATTAAATAGCACTATGTTAACATTTAATAAATGGTTTATAATGCACTGTAATGTAGTTATAACACCATAGCCTCATATTGTGTGTTCACTGTATTGTCATTTATCTGTTCATACACCTGTGGGGGCCAACAGGAGGACTTGTTGACAAATATCTGCTACATTATAATGTGTTATCAACTATTATCAAATCTATTAAACGTGTATATACTGCTTGTTAATGCTAGATACTGTAGGGGGAGTAAAAGCATTTCCAAAATCTATATTTACAATGAAAGCCTGGTACAACCTTTTGAATATGTCAATTTATGACAAAAAGAGGAAAAATATGAGGGTTGCATCTTTCAGAAATAAGCAGCAAATTACAAAATGAATCCTGGTAAATATTTCTTGTAGGATTTTATAAATAATATTTTATCAATATCAGTCATTTCTGTGCAAAAAAAATCATTCAGTAGTGTGGCCAGTTTTCCTCATACACTTAACTCTTTCTCCTTCCAGTCTAGAACGAGGATTATTTTATTATTGATTAAGATGCACATTATTTTCTTGATTAATCGTTTTATTTATAAAATGTCCCAAATTAATAGTGAAAAATTCTCTTCATAATGTCACACAGCCAAAGGTGGCGCCTCAAAATGTCTTGTTTTGTCCAAAAAAGCATCCAAAACCAAAAGATGTTCATGTAACTATCATGTATGAGAAAGACGAGCATAAAGAAATACAAGCATAAAATCTTCACGCTTAACAAGCTGGAACTTGGACATGTTACCAAAAACCATTATTCAATTATCAAAATAGCTGCTGATTCACTTTCTGTCAATCGACTAATCGATAAATCGACTAATCGTTACAGCTCTACACGGCACCATGACCAGGAAGGTGTTCACCAACACGAGGGAGCGCTGGCGCCAGCACAACGTCAACACTGCCTTCGCCGAGCTCCGCAAGCTCATCCCCACTCATCCTCCGGAGAAGAAGCTGAGCAAGAACGAGATCCTGCGTCTGGCCATGCGCTACATCACCTTCCTGGTGCAGCTTCTGGAGAGCCAGACCGGTCAGCCGGCCAGCCACTCCCCCACCGCTCTGCTCACCTTTCTCAGAGGAAACATGGAGCAACTGCACTCCCCTCCACACGGCTGGGCCCTGACCAGTGACACAGAAGTCCCGTCACCTGGATCCAGCTGCGACAGCTCCGAGGCCTGGTAGAACCACACACAAAAAAAAGAGACTCTTGAGTGGACCTTCTGACCCTTTTGCTGGGTTTAAAAAAAAAAACTGATTTAGTCCTTCCTCAAGACTTATTTTCTTTCTGCATTTGTCACCCGTGTGTGACTCGTGTTTCAATGCAGAAGATGCAATATTGTGTGATATTTGTGGACCCCAAACGTGGCTGACAACCTGGGCGCAGCCTCCCGATCAGTGTTGAAATATGATTTGCGGGTGAAAATTAATTTGTATTCTGCATGGAATGGATGTGTAAAAACCTGGATGTACAATACTCCCTTCATGTCTTCATGTTAATATTCCTTGTTGCCGGCCAGCCTGGAACTAATTGGGTTTTGCAATGACAGGGTGTTTTGCCGATGAGGAAAATGGATGGGGATTAAGGAATTTCTCATTTCAAGCAATAGATTCAGCATTTGAATAGATAATGGCTCAGCCAATTCTCCAGACTGCAATTGTCTCAAAATAGCCAAGGGCCGCTTTTTTTTCTTTTCTTAAATCGACATGTTGTTGTTGTTTTTTTCATGAGAAGACTAAATCTGACCTTTATATTTATTAACCAAGATTATCTGACTTCAGAAGAATCCGTTCTGTGAAAGACTTTTGCCGTTTCTCACCCGTTTTTACACAACGATGTTCAGTATTGGGTGATTCTTAGGATTGGGTTGAGGAATTTCGGCAAAAACTGACAATCCTCTTTCAGTAATCACACGCTTCACCACACACATATCTTCTCATTTAAACGTGTTTTGAGTTTTTGTAAAATACGCATGTCATATAGCCAAAGATTATGAATTGATTGTCTGCTGTGAAGAGTGTGCTAATTATCTTCTGATACCTCCTTTGTAAGTTATTTTGGTGTGCTTGTGAATATACAGTATGTTATTTATTTGAACTATTTATTTAATAAATGATTTGATAATAGAACACTTTCTCAAGCCTGTTTTGAACTGTAGTGTGTTCACACTGAAAAAATGACAAAAGTATGTGTACTCAAAACAGTCAGTATGTGTTGAAGGACATGATTGTCCCACAATGCAATTCACAAAGCAAATGGAGGAGTGTCTGTTGGGACAAAACAGCCCCAGGAACACCTAATAAAACAAAAACATGACTCAAATCCTTGGAAAATATTCTCAGTTAGTATGCAGTGCGAAATTGGGGCTCACCGATGACATTATTTCACACTGTCTAAATCGAAGTGATGTGAAGTTAAGAGCAGAGCTGCTGCCTCTTTGTTCGTGCCCAATAAGCCCGGAAACATTGGTCCACAAGTGCTGTGATGACCGTGTGGACACAAAGCTGACCTCTGCTCTCTGTCCACTGACCACAGGTCTGTGAGAGGAGCGGTGAAAGTCACAGCTTAACTTGTGACTGCGAGGATCGGAGGTCATTCTGGAGTCAAACGCTGCCCAGTTGACCGACGTGCAGATGGAGTTCTCTTCACTTTGTTGTTACACGCAGCATTTAACAGCACCGACACCATAACTATTAAGTGAAAAGGCAGGAATATTACTTGAAAACAAACAACAGAAATTACATAAATCACCAATTTATTCCTAATTAAACTCTAAAGTCCAACATAAAAATTAACAAAATGTTACTGTGCAATTAGATTAATGCTTTTTATGAGAAACGCCATCAAAATATTCTAAAGATAACAGAAGAAAATCAACTATTTTTTAAATTAATCGATTAATTGATTAGTCAGCAAATCAGACAACAGTAAAAAAAAAAGTACAAAGAGTACAAAGTTCGTCTTCAAATGACTTGTTTTGTCGTACCAGCAATCCAAATAAAAAAATTATATTCATGTATATATATATATATATTATATATTATATACTGCATCAAATCGATCATCAAAATAGTTTTCTGTCGATCAACAAACTGATTAATGGACTATGTGTTTCAGCAGTTCTAGTTCCAATATCCGCAGTTTTGTTTGCACCCATCTCCTTGTTTGTCATTTAAACCGAGGTCACACATTTACATGGCTAATCGCCTATTGTGACTGTAGAAATTGTGCCCCATTTTCAGGAAAAAAAGGCTGCAACTAACTGAGCCGAAGAGTAAACACTGAGTTGGTTTCGGGCGCTTTCACTCCGGCTGTTAAACTCGGGCTAATGGTGTGTAAACGGAGCAGAGGGCAGCTGGACATACTGACTGGAGGCCTGTGGGAACTGACAGGTGACTCATTGTAATCCTGCAAACATCCAAAATAAATCACATTGAAGTAGGAGAGTGAAAACAACTGTACAGAGCAGTCTGCCTCTCCCAAAGCATGCATTTTGGGAGAGATTTACCTCTTGTGCAATTTCACAGTGAATTGAGCAATTTCATGGTGAACTGAAAAAAACCTACTTCCGTTATTAATAGCTGTACTTCCCGGTAACATGAGATGCAATATTAAAAAATGTTTACCTCTTTGTACGTTGAATGTTTTGGTGTATTTAATGTTCAATTATTCAGTAATCATTTGAAACTGGATAGGAAGGCACGTGTTTGCTTTTGCGCACATGCTATCAGGCTGTGAAATGCATTTTGCTGATACATCCTTATTTACAGAAATCGCCCAATGACAATATGAGCATTACTCTGACCTCAATTTTCTAGCAGAATTATGAAACCCTGCATTGAAAATAATAACAAATCTGTACGCTTCTCATTCCCTCCACCAAGTATATTTGCCTGAATGACTATTCTCTCCCAAGTACGAGGGTAATCGTCTATTGAGAGCACATTTCCTTATCAGCGTCTAGCACACTGTCTGAATCTGTTATCACAATGGGCCAGATCAGTGCAGGCAGCCCCTCGCTCTCCCGGCTGAGGCGCCCATGAAAAAGAATTTCTGGAGTTGGGTGCCAACCGATAGGCCCTGAGCTCTTTATCCCCTTAAAGCCAATTCACACTCTGCATGTTTAAATATCTCAGCTCAACCCCTGCCCTCCCACTCCCGTCATGCACTCAGACTCCCTCCCTCTTTCCTTTTCCCTTCTCTCTCTCCCTCTCTCTCTCTCTCACCCCTCCGCGGCTGCAAGTCCAGGCGTGGACTGCCGCCGCAGCCGACCTGCAGCCCTGATGGGTGGGTGGGATGCAGGTGCAGGCTGGTTGGAGGGTGAGAGAGGAGGGGAGTCACCCATTGTTTGGCTGGACAGCACCCTCTCTCCTCTGGAGCACCCTCTGATGGGGGAGCCCACTGACAATCACGCATCCTAATCTGATTATGCAAATATCTACTTCAAAAAGCAATGCTCTGTAACCCTTACCCTGTGATGGAAAGACAGTGCGAGGAAGGAGGACAGAAGGAGAGGAAGCAGCAGGAATGCAGTGACTGAAGCGTAGATTGTGCATTATGCCCCTTGTATTTAATTTCATCTGGAATTCAACATTTAGACTGAATGATTCTGCGATTGTATGTAATACCGTGATATACCCATCATTAGTTTCCCTCACACGTCCTCTGAACCACCAGGGGAGGTCTGAGGACGAAACAGTATACACTTACACACTCTGAATGGCCACTGACTCCCTCAACAGGGCATTGAATTCAATATTCAAATGCTTATTGTTTTTCCAGACGCTCCTGAATCCAGCGTCAAAAGGAATCTACAATGTTAATGAGGGGGCCAAAGTACCCAGAGTTAAGATTTAGACGCCCAAACAGTCGCATGTGACATTTCCCATGAACAGCACACCCTCAACGCCACCGATTCCTAAAGGCATGGCCGACAACCCCCGCCTACCTAATATTCACACCGAGCTGACCCCTCTGGCCCCAGCCGCTTTCTGAAATCAGCTGCCTCATTCGACTGCGAGATACATCTCTAAAACAAGAGGCTACAGCCATGCTGGCAGCTCTGTGAGGCTGTTTGAGCTAAATGCTAACATGCTTTCAACAACACTGTTGACATGCTGACGTTTAGCAGGTATAATGTTTATGTTCAAAATGTTAGCATGCTAACGTTAGCATGAAACACAAAGTGCAGCTGAGGCTGATGGGCATGCCATTAGTTCTTCAGGTATTTGGTCATAAACCAACATGTTAGGCAAATAGAAATTTTGACCCAATGATGGGATCACCAATCTTATTGCAATACATCCTGAGGTGTAGCAACACATCCGACACTGCAATGCGATACCTTGAGCCACCACACTAGTGGGGCTGCAATGATCACAACTGAGACAAAAAACTGTAAACATACAACTACTTTCAAAATGTGGCTTTAAAAGCCCCCCCCCCCCCCTTACGAAAACCAAACATCTTTGGTTACACTCACACTCCTACACTTTGTATGCACGGAAATTCTTGCACAGGCCCCAACATGCACACTCCACATCCTCAAATTGCTCCAGTGTGTCCAAGCCCACATAGCTGAAATCTTTATCAGTCAGTTATGTCACTCCATTTCTCCACAGCCAACAACTAGTATCTGGGATTCTGAAGTCAGTTTTTACTTTCCTTTTGTGGATTTGTGGTTCAGGTTAGAGACCGCTTTCTTTTTTACTAACTGTTGACTTTACCTTTTACCCCTTAACATTTGCTTGGGGTATATGTGTGTGTGTGTGTGTGTGTGTGTGTGTGTGTGTGTGTGTGTGTGTGTGTGTGTGTGTGTTATATAACGTGCCATGTAGGACAAAGAATAGCTACGAGTCAGAGTTCAGCTTTGTTTGG